TCCAAAGTGCTAATATGCTTATGTCATTTGTAAGAGAGACAGTAATTGTCATTGCATCCACGGGGCGGCTGCGTAGCGCCTAAAGTCCGCTCACCTGCAGGATGGGCTGGAAGGTCGATGCCACTTGATGGCCTTGAGGGGTGGCATGTGTGTGAGAACGAGTTGTTGCACTGTGGCCATGCAGGGTTGGGCTGTTAAGCTTGAGATCGCCGGTTCGATTCCACGAGGGGTCGGATCCAGGAAGATACAGGGGGGGGAAAAAAAAAAACAAAAAAAAAACACACATTGTGTCCAATGTCCATCACAGTCCATGTGCGTTATGACTTATATGAGTGATCTGTATCTTGGAAGTGGGAACACGGAAGTGTAAACAACCCATCTGTCTGGCAAACGGGCGTGTTTCTTCGGTGCACTTGCAGGCAGAGAGGGCGGCTCGTCGAGCAGGAGTCATGCAGACAATCACATTGAATACGGTGGTAGCGGCGACTTTACTAAATATAGGAGCTACTCTTCTTGTCAATGGGCTTCCGGAAGTCGCAAATACCTCCTTCGCGGTGGCAGGTGAGTCGAAGCCTCACAACAACAACTGATTCTAAGGGAGCTGGCCAGCTGATGATTATTATGATTATGATGGTGGTTCGAACACAGTGAGAATACACACAGTGATAACACCGAGTGAAGCACACAGTGTAAAAGAACACAGTCACCGTAGTGACAATAGACAGCTGAACGATGAAAACCAGAGGGTTACCCCAAATTCAGTCCAACACGCCCAAACTCCACCGCATTCCACGTGTCACCCCGGGCGGTAGGTAGTATACCGTCGTCACGGTCAACTAGACGCCACGGGAACCCAAGAGGTCTACTACCGCTACTGTCTACGTACTTATAGTTCAAAACAAAATTCGGTCGGGCAGGTCCTCCTCCACCAAGGTGGGACTGTCCGTCAGGCCACTAACATATGAGAACCTTCCAGAAGTCCGAACTACAAAAAAGGGACAACTCGAATATTTTTCTCAGACCGGAATCGAACTTCCGTCGGACCAACCATCAGACGTCGGTTCGAACCGGGTCGACACCTCGAGGCACATAACAAACGAAATCAGAATTACAAAGGCAAAACATCTGATGCCATCACACCTGTTGTACGTTCGGTGGGGAGGGAAGCACACACCATGCTATATTTCATATCATCCCTGACACAAGCAATGTACATCCAGATACATATGATGAAAAGGACTTGACTGGACAATGCAGCGTCAGAAAAGCATCCACAAGCAATGTACGTCCAGATACATATGAAAATAGCATAATGTAGCGCAATGGAAGACTCTAAGATATGACCTGACCTGTCACATGCTGACACGACACCCTATCATACACCACACATGTGAGAGAG